TATACTACTACCCCTACTCACCTCCACCTCTTCTGCTATATATACCTTCCCTCCCCCTCTGTTTTGTGACTTTGTCAAGGTCCAAGTCGGACCCAAACGTCGTGTAAGCTTCTGTCTTTTAGTGCGGGGTTTTTTGGTATCGTTCCAGTCTGGTATTGTCCTTTTTGTTATTTATTGGGAGAAAGGTGGGCTAGTGCAAGATGAGTAGTGGGGGGGTTTAAATGGTTGGAAAAAGTTTAAAAATGCAGTATTAGAATTTGGGGGAGAAGTTTTGGTATAGGAGGGTGGGGGCAGGAGGAAAAAGGATATTTTGGGGGAACATGAATAAAGGGTGGATAAAAAAGAAAAAGGTACTTCGGAGGTTTTTTAAAAAAGCAGAAAGGTTTTTAAAAAGAGCGAGTATATGGAGAGTAAAAGAAAGGGAAAAGAGGGTGAGAGAGTGCAAAAGGAGAGCAATGAAAGAGTGGGGGAGGCAGTCAGAAATTTTAATGAAAATAATTAAAAAAAAAAAAAATTAAAAAAAAAAAAAAAATAAAATTTTTTATTAAAAAAAAAAAAAAAAATAATAACAAAAAAAAAAAATTTTAAAAAAAAATTTTTGGGGGGGTAAAAAACAAAAAAAAAAAATTTAAAAAAAATAAAAAAAAAAAAAAAACAAAAAAAATGGATATAAAAAGTTAAAAGCAGGGGGGGGGAAGTTGGATTTGGCGTTTAAAATTAGAAAGAGGGGGAAGGTTTTAGGGATTTGGGGGAAGTGAATCCCCTTTTAAAAGGGAAAGGGGGGAAAAAGGGGAGTAAAATTATGAGGAAAGTTTACTGAGAAAACCCGGGAAAATTAGGTAGGGTTATAATTTAAAGAAAGAGGTAAGAAGAATGTGGAATGGAAGAGCAGGGGTTAAGGTGGGTGGGTTGGGGAAAAAATTTTTTTTAATTTTAATTATGAAAGAAAAAAAGGTAGGGGGGTTTTTATTCATTATGGAAAAAAGGGGGAAATAGAGTGTAAAGGAAAAAGGGAATGTTTAAAATTTTAAGGAAAGGTGGTAAGTTTTTAAAAATGGGTTAAAAACTTTTTTGAGGAAAGGAGGCTCAGGTTTGGGGGTGAAAAAAGGGGAAAATGGTAAAAGAATTTTAACAGGGGTTGTAAAGGTTAGGTTTTTTTTTATAAAAGGGGTTTGAAAAGAAGTAAATGTAGGGGTTGGGAGAGGGGGGATTAATTTTGGGGTAAATTCAAATGGAAAAGTTTTTTTTTGAGATATGGCTTAGGGGAAAAGAAAAATTGAAAGGTTAGGGATGGTTTGGGAAATGGGTTTTTTAAAAAGGTGAAAGGAAATAAATGAAAAGGGGGGGGAGAGGGAAAGATTTAGAAAAAAAATTGGATAACCAAATTTTTGGGGGGATAGTAGGGAAAGGGAATTTTTAAAAAAAAATTTTAGGTTGGGATGGTTAGATTGGGTAAATTTAAAAAATTGGAAAAGGGGAAAAAAGGGGAGGGATGAGGGTAAATTGATAAAAAATTTATCATGGGGGAAAAAGGGAATTTTGAAAAAATGTAAAAATTTATAAGGGGTTTAGTTGGGGGGGTAATGCAAGGGGGAATGGTTTGGGGGGGAGAAAAATTTCGGGGAATGGGGTTTAAATTTTAAGAAAAGGGGGAAAATTTGGAAAGGTTAGTTTTAAACATTATAAGGGGGAAAGGGGGTTAAGGGGGGTTTGGCATTTTGGGGAAAGGCAAAAATGAAAGGAAAATATAAAACATGGGGAAAAGGAGGGGTGTGGGTTTAAAGGGTTGGAAAAAGGGGAAAGGGGTTTTGGGGTTTGGGGGTTTGACAACAAGGTGCATGAGCTTTAATAGGGGGGAAGGGGACGGAAAATTGGGGATAAGATTTTTTGGAGTGTGAGCAGGTAAAATTTAGTAAGGGGTTGAAAACCGTTATTTTTCAAAAGTTTTAGCCCGGAAATGGAATAAAAACCGATTTAAAGGGGGGGTTTTGGGAAAATTGGAAGTTTGGGAAGGGATATGTTGGTACTTTATACGAAATGCTTCAAAAATGTTGTATTTTGACACCTTGCAAAAACAGTGATAATGTGTGGTGTGGTGAAAGTGTTGAATGATGATGAAAATATTTCTTTTTGGGGGTTTTCTTTCTTTTTGGGTCCCCGCCCGTGGGGGGCGGCCGAAAATTTTTAAAAAAAAAAAAAAAGGAAGTTTCTTAGGGCAGGTCTCCCGTCTCACACAACCAAAAATTTTTGGTGAAGTGAGATACGGGGGAGGAGGAATAATTTTTGAGAAAATGGGTGCCCCTGGCATAAAGTAGCTTTGGAATAAATCTTTTACAATTTAAAATTAAAAATTTAAGATTTGAAGTAGAAAAAAATGAGGGTAAATTCCCAGGCGCTTTACACAAATAAAAATTTTTTGCTCACATCTTCTCATTCTCCATGAGGAAGTGGAAAAGAATCCTTCCCTGTAACCGGGCATGGGCTGTAACCTTTCTTGTGTATAAATTACTAAATGTAAAAAAAGAAAAACTTTGTTTCTTTTCCGGTCATCCTTCCCCTATGGGGGTTTGGCCCCTGTGTTTAAAAAAAAAAACCTTTGGGAGAAAATTTTATAAACTATAGGTTACTTAAAAATTTATCACTCTAATCTATGCTTTCATTTACCCATACCCACCAGGAATTAGGGGTTTTGGGTTTACTTCAGCTGTCCACCCCAAAAAAAGATTATCACAAAAAGAAGCTATTGGAACTACATATAAGCAAAAATTTTAAAACACACTATGCCCTTTTTCATATCCTTAAACCTGCTAAATATCAATGTTATCCATACTACTGTTCCCTTTACATCTTCAAAACACTACACTATAATGGTACTATTGACATAAGACACTTCCTGGAAAACTGTATCAAACACACAAGCATCACACTTGAAACAGATACTTGTGATATTTCTCATGTTTACCTGAACCTCCATAGAAACCCAAAACTAATAAAAATGCAAAAAAAATATGTAATAACGTGCCAAATTAATTTAAAAACAATTTAAATTAACCCATTGAGGGTTTTGGTCGTACTAGTACGGTTTACGACCCAGTGTTTTTGACGTACGTACTAGTACGCCTAAATTCTAGCGCCCTCAAATCTAATGAGAGAAAGCTGGTAGGCCTACATATGAAAGAATGGGTCTATGTGGCCAGTGTGCGCAGTATAAAAAAAATCCTGCAGCACACTGTGCGTAATGAGAAAAAAAAAAACTTTGACCGTGTTTTTGGAATAAAACAGCGACTTTGCACTGTATTTTCGTATGGTATTTATTGTTGTATTCTAGTTTTCTTGGTCTCATTTTATAGAATGGGAGATATATTACAGAAATTGAGATGATTTTGACTGGTTTTACAATGAAAAGTACCTTGAAATTGAGCGCAAAGTAGCAGGAATGTTCGATTTTTATCAAAGTTCAAAGGTAAACAAATCATGCCAAGCGTCCAATACACGTCAACTGGTGAGTCTAATATTCTTTCACAAGTGCGCTGATATTATTTATACCATTTCTACACTAAAGCAGTAGTCTGTATAACAGTAAATCTTCTATTTTTTGTAAGAATAAAAATTCAAAGTGGAAAGTCAAAGAAATATAAAGAGGGGCCTGGAGATGTGACTAATGAACAGAGAACTTGTTATTTTAGTGCCAGGAATGTGTTTTTTGTTTATTCTGGACTCTATTCGGAAATTGGCATCTTTTGAAATTTGTGTGAAATTGGCAAAATTGCTAAATTCTGACCACTTTATTGGATAGTTGAAATTGGTAAATGGGTGGTTTCTTGTACTCATTCGATAGAAAAAATGGAGTTCTAGTGAAATAGTTTTGATTTTTGTCGACTAGTATATTGGAATTGGCCAAAAATAGGGCTCAAAGTGGGCAAAATCGCCGATGCGTAAACATCGTCGAGACCGCTAACTTCGCGAGAGCATAATTCCGTAAGTTTTCCATCAAATTTCATACTTTTGGTGTCATTATGATCGGGAAAAGATTCTCTATCTTTTCATAAGAAAAAATCATTTTTTTTTTTTTAATTTGGCCGACCCTGAGAACAAGTTTCGGAGAGGGCCTGTCGACCCTCAAAGGGTTAATAGTTTTTATTGTACACACTATACCCATCCTGTGAGCATTAGTCAGATGACAGCAGCACACGGTTTATAAAACCCATGCATGGGTTTAATATGCAGGCCCATTTTGGCCAGATGTCTGCTCAGACTGCAGGGATGGTTTTCATTATGAACATGGAAAGGAGTATTAGACTGTCAAGGACCTTTACTTTGAGGATAAGGCAAGACTTACATGCTAGATTATGAGTAGAAAAAAGAAGTTAGTGATCTTATGGACAACCCTCTCAGCTGAGAGAGCACTGCTGGGAGCAAAACCCAGGAGGACGGGTCAGACAAGATTATTTCCAGAAGAGGAGGGAACCATGAGAGAGAGGGCAACATCCTCACAAAAAAAAAAAAAAAAAAAAAAAAACAGAGCTGGAGAATCATCGAAGCCTTCCACGTCAAGTGCTGTGCATGTAACCTTTCCTTGACATGGCCCTCATGTGTCCAGAAGAGGTGGCCCCCTGGAGAGAAAGCCCCTTTAGGGAAAACCACAAAAATGGGGTCTGTGATCACAATTATAGCTAGTATTCCTTTGCATTGATGCAACATGAGTTACTTTACTAGGGGCAGACTGAGGATAGAGGGGTCAAAATATCTGAGGGATACGGTGACGAAGCCTAAAGGCGATATTCAATACTTCTCCCTTCATGCTTAGATAATAACCATGGAAGCTGAACTGTTCTAGTGTCTAATGAATCTGGTTCCTTGTAATGTTTGTGATAGCTGTTACTGATTAACTTAAATTTTTCCTGTAGTAATTTATAATTGGATATCTCCTCATACAATGAAAACTGAGAACAATACAGATGACAATTTTTAATCCTACAAGTGGTTTGCTTTTTTTGCAGATATTGTTGGTGTTGATACAGTAGTCAACTTCGACCTGCCAAAGACTGTAGATGAATATGTTCACCGTATTGGACGAACTGGTAGGGTAGGCAATCGTGGGCATGCATTAAGCTTCTTTGACAATGAGCGAGATGCACCACTAGCTAAAGATTTGGTCAAGATTCTTGATGAGGTGAGAGTACTGTTTATGCCTTTAATATCATTATTATTCTGCCCTTCCCATTACGTGTATTTTATCTTTCTCACAATTTTATAATATAAACAGAAGCCCTTAACTTGTACACATTGTTTTAACCCTTAAACGGTCCAAACAGATCGGCGTTCAAATTCGTAGTGCTACAAAAGTAGATCTACTTTTTTTACATATTTTCAAATATAACAAAAAAAAATGTAGATGAAAGTTTTTACACATTTTCACACGTAAAACAAAAAAAAAAAAGATTACATTTTTTTCACATACTTTCAGATGTTGAAAAAACGTATATATACGTTTGGACCATTTAAGGGTTAATTTGCTGTTAATGGATTTTATTTCTCTTTCACGTTGATGCCTTTTGCTATGCTCATAATATAATGCAGCTCCTTGTCTGTAACTTTTTAGTATTAAGTGCAGGACTTCTACTATTTTAGTCCTAGTTCAAGTCTGTGTAAACTTCTGTACATCCTACGTGGTTTTGAAGAAATTATAACTTCTGCCTGCTTTTTATTTTTTAATAGTTTTATTGAGGTATCCCTGCCAAGGCAGGATGCCTGTTTTATACTGTGGCTCAGTAGTAAGAAAGACTGCTGCAGAAGGTGTAGTAGGCAAGTTTGGAGTGCCAGAGGTAAATGACATTAGGAGTCTCTAATTTAATTTTTTTTTCTTCAAGTCAACCGTCTCCCACCTAGGTAGGGTGACCCAAAAAGAAAGAAAATCCCAAAAATGAAAATACTTCCATCATCATTCAACACTTTCACCTAACTCCTATATAATCACTGTTTTTGCAGAAGCGGCCAGATACAACAGTTTAGAAGCATATATAAAGATACAATATAAAAAGTGACCTGAAATAATTACAATATCAGGGCCCCAGTTATATACAGGTACCATCCGACTTACGACCAAGCTTTGTACCGACCAACCAGTCGTAAGTCAAAATGGACGTAAGTCGAACCTTTGAAAATTGCCGACATACTGGGTAGGGCACAATGTCAAACCTTTCCTATATAAACTACCTATATAGCACTGTGATGTAATGTACAATCATTTATTTCATTCTTTTTACCATAATTTACTTATATTGTTATATTTTAATTATTTATGTACTGTATAATATGTATACATGGTAGTGAACTGTATTGTAAATTTTACATCGCATACAGTATCATATGTTACTGTTATCTTTAAGTATTGTTGACAGAGGAATGGGAGAATACCGATAGTAGTGTCATCCTTCCAGAATGTACTATAACCTATACCCTAAGTAAAGAGAAACTACTCTGCAACATGTGTAAAATGTAGCCGGGTGGTTGGCTGACTGAATGTGACTGCTCTCTCTCTCTCTCTCTCTCTTTTTACACAGGGTTTGACAAGGTTAAGGATCCCTAGCTTTATTGACAGCTATTTACAGGTTAAGGATCCCTAGCTTTATTGGCAAGCTAAGAGCTGTTACCTACATCAGCTCATTTGAAAGCATTTTTATTGTTATGAGACATACAAGTAGGAAACAGGATGAAGTTGGAGCCATCTGTGGGCCAGCATTTTCATTTGATCAACTGACTTTATCTCGTTGACATCATTATCCTGTACGAATGTGTTCCATACTCGAGTCATCCTGGGTATGTATGATCTCAGATGGAGTGATGTTCTGGAAAAGGGGGAAACAGCCAGAGTGAAGTTGCTGCTTTCTGCCCGTCTTGTGGCATAAAAGCTTGTTTCACGCTGTCCTCGAGTGGACCCAAAGTGTGGTATTTTGACAATATTGGCCTGTACATAACAGTAAGGCCACCACAGATCCCTCCTATGTTAAAGGCTCGCTGAAATGACAGATCTATCCAGATGGGTCCAGGCGAGAGATGAGACGTTCTTGCTCTGTTCTCTAACTGTCAAGCAGTCGCAGATGAGAGGGGGGGCGGGCCCAAACCAAGAAAGTGGAGCATACTCAAGGTGCGAGCGTACTTGTGCCTCGTACAGGATCTTGCAACCCCTACTGCAAGCAGATGGGAGAAAACGGCGAAGTGCTGTAAGCTTCCTGGCTGCCTTGTTTGCAAGATTTACAACATGGTTCTTCAGGGTTTTAGTTTGGAGTCAAATTTCACCCAAGGATATCAACTTCTTCTCCGGGTGCCAACATCCCCCATTCATCCTTACTACTGCATCAGCATTACCATCATGGTGCCTAGAGACGATCATCATTTGCGTTTTCTCAGGTGCAAATGTTACTTGCCATCTATTTTCCCCAAGCTGAAAAAGCTCTCAGCTGGTAAATTGATGTAGCTTAGAGCAGCTGGCATTTCTTCTCTTGGTTAAGTGAATGTCATGTACAGTCGTCTGCATATGCATGTGGATTCTGGGATTGAGATAAAGAAGGTCTTTTGAAGTAGACATTCCATAACAATGGACCCAGCACGTTTCCCTTTTGTGGAACACTTGCCCCAATAGGATGTCTTGCTGATTCCGTTCTATTGAGAACTCACTTAGAGATCTACCATAAAGGGTAGTCACTGAGGAGACATAGGTAGAGCCTGCAATTCCAGTGCTTGAAGTTTTGCAAAAGGGGCCCCTGGTGCCACACCCGGTCGAAAGCGCCAGCAATGTCCAGTGCTACCAAAACAGCTAAACTTTGGATTCATCCAGTGACTGGTCCCACTTAATGGAGAGGTTTAACAACAGATCAGCAGCGAGTAACCTTTCCTGAAGCCATTATTGACGATCACAAAGTAGTAGTGGTAGTCAAAAACTGTCATTTGTTTGAGATTATTGTCTCAAGGATCTTACCATGATTGACAGGAGTGACACTGGTCTGTAGTTGTGATTTCTGCTCTGCTCTTCTTTTTGTGAACGGGGACTACTTTTGGGCCTCTTCCATAGAGAGGGCCATTTACACTTTTACTAGGCAGTGCTGAAAGATGCGAGTTAGAGGTGCTGCTAGTGGTCTGCACATCTTCTCAACAATCTTGGGCTCAACTTGTCTGGGCCCACAGCCTTTTCTTGGTCAAGCGATTTAAGTAGGAATGCACTCCTCCTGCCTTATTGTCACCACTGACAATTTTGACACAGTTCTTGCAGCTAGCCAAGGGGGTCCTTTGCTGGATCAGGAACTTGCATTTTGGTAGCAAAGTGTTCAGCAAAGAGGTCCGCCTTCTCTTGACTACTAGTAGAGGTGGTCCCACCCTGTCGATTTAGGGGTGGAATAAGTTCATCAGGGCAGAAAACCCTTGTCTGTCCTTGACCAGGGACACCAGTTTTGGAGCCTCCCCTCCCCTGATGCTAACTTTCTTTTTAGTGTCCACCTCCCATTTAGCAATGGCCCCCCCCTTTGAACTTTCAACCATAGCCTACAGGCTTGCATGTGCAATTTCCCTGTTATGGGTGGTAGGAGGGTCTCTATACCTTCGCCATGCTTTGTACTTAGCAGTAGCAGCCTCTCTACAAACGAAAGCCAAACCAAGGCTGATCTGTAGGCTTCGTCACATATTGCCGGTGAGGAATGTGTTCTTGTTGTAGATTAAGGATGTGTCCAGTGAAGGCTTTCACTTGGTTGTCAACATCCCCTTGGAGAAGAGCATTCCAGTCGGTGGTGGCGAGCTCAGAGCAAAGGGCTGGCCCAAATTTACCTCTTTTCCCATAGCCAGGTTGTGCGTGTGGACTCCTCACCTCGTTCTGTTGGGATCTTAAGTGTGGTAAAAACAGCCTTGTGGTCAGATGATCCAACGTAGTCGAGGGGTTGACAAGTGACTATGCCTACTGGGTCAAGGGAGGAGCCAGAGATATGAGTAGGGAAATCAACAAAGTTTCTCATGTCAAACACTGCAAGAAGGTCATCAAAGTCCCTCTGTATAAGGTGCTGGTTGAGGTCACCAACAATTATAATATGTTGACAGTTGTGTTGTAGCAGAAGGGAGTCAATATTTTCCATTAGGAAGTTGATAGGGTCTGCATGTTGCCACTGAGGTCTGTACATTGCACATGCTAGTACAGAGGTACTAGTGTTTATACAGAGCTTGAAGAACATCATTTCAAGATGTGTAGGGGTGGCAACATCAATGTGCTGGGCATGAACATTTTTTAGGAGAAGCACACAGCAACACCCCCTTCTTGCCTTTGCCTGTCTCTTCTCATCCATGAGGTGTAGCCACCCAATTTTTGCAAAATTTTCTGGAGTCCTGTCATCCAAAAATGTTTCAACAACAGCTATCATGTCGGGAATGTCGAGTGTTCACAAAGCTATGTGTGAGCTCTCCAACATTAGTGATGAAGCCTCTAATGTTGGCCCACAAGATGCTGATAGACTGGCTCCTCATGATGAAGTGGTCAGCTTGAGGTGGGGGGTGTGTGGGAATGTAAGGTGCCTGCCCTTGAGAGAGGTAGGGTACTGAGGCAGCTGCGGGGATGTAGGTCTGTGGTCTTGTATAAGGCACAGTCCCACCTGTGGGTGGGATAGGAGTAGCTAAGTGGGTGACGTGTGAGAGTGTTCACCAATTCAGAGATCCTGCTGGTTTGTTCTGAGAACAGGTCTCTAAACAGGTGGCCCTGTCTGTCAATTTCCCTTTTTCTTCCGACACTGGTCCTCCTTATGTCCTTTCTTGTAGCAGAAATTTACACCTGGTATCTCGCAGGCAGTTGTTGGCAGTGTGCCCCTTCGGTGACGCGAGAGCACAGCCTAGGTGCCTGGGAGGGTGGACTAGATTTGTTGCACCTCCTGTGTTTTGCGGGTTTGTCCTCGATTCTGCCGCTGGAACTGTGTTAGTGGAGGGTGAGACGGCTGTAGATGTCTTCCTCCTCCACGTCCTCTGCCCCGTCCTCTACCATTCTGACAGATGTGTCCTGCTGTTCGTTTTTCGGGCGCCAGTAAGTGATCAGGTGCAGTGATAGTTCCTGATCATTAACTGCACCGTTCTCTGGTGGAGAAACTCCTGGCTCAGAACTGCTGACGAAGCACTGCTACCAGATTCTAGAATAGTGTCGGCAGG